AGGCTCTTAGCCAGCAACACTCTCCTCTTCGATGGAAAGAGGAATATCGCAAAGAACTCCATAAACGCTACAAATGGAAATCCCCTCAAAAAGACATCGCCGTCGATGACCTAGTTGTAGTTCGCCATGAAAATCTCCCTCCTAACGAGTGGCGCTTGGGCAGGGTCACAAATATTTATAAAGGCTCCGATAAAAGAATTCGTGTTGCAGACATTCGCACACAAAAGGGATTGATAACGCGACCTATCGTGAAGTTAGTGGTCTTACCAAACTAACCCCTCATATCAATACTTTCCCTTTTTTTGCCGCTTTAGCATCAAGACCATGGAACTAGTTCCCGTAGACCGATCGACACCATCATCGCCACGCGCCTCGCCTCCACCGCCACCGACAGATGCCTCCGCCCAGCGCGCAGCCAGGGAAGGCAGGTCCAAATGTAGAGTTTGCCACCGGTCGCATCCTCTCCGGTATTGCAGGCGATTCTTAGATGCCAACTATGAGCGCCGGCTGCGCCTTGTGCTTCTCCATCGGTATTGCTCGCGATGTTTAGCCCACTCCCACACGGCCAAGAACTGTCTGAGCAACGGGACGTGCCAATATTGTGAGGAAAAGCATCACACCCTGTTGCATGCAAACCACCGTCTTTCTCCCCGACGCCAACTTCCCCTACTTTTAACGCAGCTTTCGGGAACAGTTACCGTTCTACCCACCGTGGCGGTTTACCTACACATCGGGCCTCGGAAATTTTTAGCTCGGGCTCTGATAGACCCTTGCTCGCAAACGAGCAAAGTTTGCCACGCGCTGGTGCACCGGCTCCGCCTAAAGACGGTGCCCGTGGCGAATATCAGCATGTGCGAGCTCCACGTAAGCTCGTCAAATGATGCACATGTGCGATTCTCCTTGCCGGGAGGGTACTGTCGGAGATCGGTAGTGTATCTCCACGACTCAGCCAACGAATTTGTGAGAAATAAGGGATATCTGTATGTTCACTTCCTATAGACTTTAGAAATTCCTTAAACTGGCGATGGTTAAGTCCTTGAGCACGAACTATGTTGATGCTTTTCACTACTACATCCACGACGTTTTTAAAGGGCACTCCTTTCGCACATAAAGCTTCCTGGTGTATAAAGCAATGTACCGCAATAAAATCGCAGTTGAAGTCGGAAGCAAGTTTGGTTTTGAGTCTACCTATGAATCCTTGTTTCAATCCCGTCATCGATTTTGCGCCGTCCGTTGCAACACTGTAAATTTTACTCCAATCTAATTCTTTACTGGAAGCGCAATCGATATATGCCTTTGCCTGTGGTAGTTCCTTTCATGCGTATCGAGTCGAGCAGTTCTTCTGTTATATTAAAGTCATTATCTACTCCACGAATAAATATTACCAGCTGCGAAGTATCTGTTACATCTGTGATCTCATTCAAAGCTAATGAAAATGATATAGAGATGCATATTCAATGTTTCAATTGTATTTCGCAATCCTTGGCCATATCTTGAACTCTTTGTACGATGGTTCGACGCGACAAGCATATTTCCTGGTATTTATGAACCTCCTCTTTTGATAGCGTACCAACGGCTTCCAAAATGCAGGCTTTTATAAACTCTCCGTCAGAAAAGGAATGATTGCCCACAATGATTTTGCGAGTAATAGCGTACCCAACGCGAATTGCGCCGATGCTATCGACAACTATGTCCTTAAGTACAAATAATGTAATAAAACTTTTTAAATTTCAAAATTAGCTAAAAACGTTGTAAACTAAGTTGTCTGCAGAAGTTAATTTTTTGTATAATTCCTTTCTCCCGTCGCCAACGTTCATAATGTCTTTTTATATTAAAAGCTTTACAAAGAAAATGTTTTTTTGCAAATTAAGCTTTGCGAATCTCCTCCACTTTACTGACACAAGTATTTTAAACTCCATTCAGAGTTGAAACTCCTCGATTTTCTTTTTACGGCGTTCGCACTTGCTTCACACTCCGTCGACATTGTTAAAATAAATCGTAATGATGCAAGTTAAAAAACACAACTTGTAATAAAATTTCAACGCAGTAGAACATATTTTTGAACACTGTTACCTGTTTTTATGCAGGCTGTCATATGATCGGTTGCTTTCATTTGTCTCTAGCTTTGCGCTCATTGGTCAAACCTGTTTTGTATACGGTGAAATAACCAGAGCCGCCTTTTGCATTTTAAGGGACTTTTCCACTACTATAGGAGTAGGTATTGTCTGGTATGTATGTAAAATAAGTACAAAAGTAAAATTTTAAGGACCTTTAATTGGGGTTATCCGGAACAGAAGGCGTTACTTATCACTTCGCATAATATTATCTGTTCTATTTCTTATGAACCCACTAAAATTAGTATGGTTTAAGAGTTTCATAGGAAAATCTCCACCTAAATACAACAATGACCACTTAGAAAACAAAAAAATCAATTGTTCGTACGCTGTACGCAAAAGCTATCCTTTGATGGGCAACCGCAAAAATCTTTACGAGTGTGTAAATAATATACATTTGGTGGTCTCAAGGACAAACTCTGAAACGCACTGAAAAAGGATTGTGCAAAAAATCACTACCTGCTACTGTTTTCGCAACTTAATATCGATCATTAAGGAAAAGTACAAAGAATGTTTCTAATGAATAAGGTTACATAGTTTAACCAACAATAATTTTGCTTTCCTTTATGTATGCGTTCATGAACTTTTGCTCACAACGACATTTTCACACTTCTTTTGTTTATGAAATACAAATTGATACCTAAATGTATACATATGTATATGTACATAAAAGCATATATACACATACATTTTCGCTCAAAAGTATTTCATTATCTTAAAAGTACCAAATATCACAAAAAATTTCAACACAATCCCCTTTTGGTGAGTGATTCAGTGTCAAAGTGGTGTTCATTTCTGTGCGCTCTTGCCACTAAAATTGAAGCAATCATACTAGAGTAGCCACAATTTTTTAATTCGGTAATAATCAGCCTCATTGCGAGAGTCGTGCCGAATGCAAGTCGTTTTTCGAGAGTCGAATCGTATCGAAAATTTGGCGTAATTGCCTAAAATTTCCACTCGACTTGTGTATTAAAACGGAAGAACTTGGCAGCACTGCATAGTTTTCGACAATTTTCTTCGTTTACTTATTTCAGCACGACAGTAGACAATGTTAATGTTGTCGAGTCGTACAATTCAGCCTAATTTACGGCTTACGCAATGAGGCTGAATAGGTCTCCTTTGCGACCCAGTTCAGCTATTTACAAATTTTTAAATTAAACTCTCTTTTAAAAAGATATTTTGTACTTTTAAACGTAATTTAATTTACCGGTTAATAAATCACCCAAATAATGCAAAATCTATTTTACAAAAACGTTGAATTCAAAGCTAAATTAATGTTTCAAATATTTATACATATAAACCTGTGTATGAATATTTTACATAAATGTAGATTTCCGTTCAAAATATGCTCGTATGTATTTTCATTATGAATAAAATGACAATGATACATATGTATGTTAAAATATTAACTTACTATTATGCAATATTTATGCAAATTTGGGGTTTGTCACAAAAAAAGAGGAAAAACCTTATCTGTCGCTCGAAAAATCTAAGCTGGGTCGCCGCCAAAAAAATTATCTACATAGAAATAAAAAGAAATGTTCTGAGTTTGGTAATTTTTTAGAGTTTTGGTAAAAAATTAAAAAATTGTGTGGCAACCCTGAGGATGAAACTGAATTAGGCACACTAACACTTGCTCACTTTTAGCTCGTGCTTGTTTTGGTATTGTCCATCACGGCTCATGTATATGTGATAATTATTTTCGTTTTTGAGAGATGCTGAATTTGCTGTTGACTGTAAAGAGCGAAATACACCACACAAGCGGCTTGTCAAACATTCTTCAAACCTACTTTTCCCATTTCGCCATATACCATGCAAACATGACTCGTTCAAGCAAAGAATTTTAGTTTTCTTCCAGTTCGCAATGCTAAATATTATGGTTTTCTTTCATTTTCCTCTCTTACGTCCTTACTCGGTGAAAATTTCGTTGCGAATGAGGCGATTTTGCTATACACAACGCAAGCGGTTTGATCAAACATCAACATGGCGGCCAGAAAATCAAAAAATTTTGATTTTTGCTCAAATTTCCCTCAAGCGGTTTGTCAAACCTTCAAACACCCCCATACACAGCACAAATGGCTTGAAGCAAAGGGAAATTTCGCTTGGTTTGTCAAACCGCTTGTGTGGTGTATTTCGCTCTTTAGTATTTCCGCAGCTTCTGTGCGATGAAGATCATGAAAGTGGGGATGTATGATGATTGTAATGTATTTTTAACTCCCTCTTCACCCTGAAAACTGCTTTACCTCTTGCGTAGCACTTGCTGGCTCTTTGACTGCTTTAAGAGCCAAAAATCTGCCCATCGCTGAACTACATAATACAAAAGGAGTAATAATATGAAAAATTAATATTTAAGTTCATCTATGTATGTCGTTTCAATTAAGGAGGTATAAGGTATTTTACTATTTCAATTTCAGTATTTCAATGATATGTTTGAGACCAATTGGAGAACTACATTGGAGTTCAAGTTGAGAACTAGCATTTTCTCAACTTGAGAAACAGTCATTTTTTCATACAAAGAAAAATGCCATTTTTGTTGAGAACGCTATGATCCTCCACTTGAAGTACTGTTGAGAAACAACGTTGGAGAATTGAGAAATACCTTAGTTCTCAAATTAACCTCAAGTTGAGCTCAAACCTAAATGTTTGTTGGGTGTATGTATGCGAAACTAATCCCATACTCATGGAGAAAAATGAGAGTTATTGGACAAGGTGGTGTGGCAACTCCCATGCAAATTGATTTTTCTATGCTGCATATCTCTTGAGGTGTTTATTGCAGAGTACTGGAACTTGGCACCGAGATGTGTATACAAATTACTTCCATACTCATGGAGAAAAATTTGCGTTATTCGTAAAGGGGCATGGTACCCCCAGTACAAATTTACTATTTTATACTGCATATCTCTGGAGGTGCTCATGGTAGAGCAGGGTATGTAAAATTAATTCCAAACTCATGGAAGAAAATTATTGTTATAAGAAAAAGGGGCNTATGCGAAACTAATCCCATACTCATGGAGAAAAATGAGAGTTATTGGACAAGGTGGTGTGGCAACTCCCATGCAAATTGATTTTTCTATGCTGCATATCTCTTGAGGTGTTTATTGCAGAGTACTGGAACTTGGCACCGAGATGTGTATACAAATTACTTCCATACTCATGGAGAAAAATTTGCGTTATTCGAAAAGGGGCATGGTACCCCCAGTACAAATTTACTATTTTATACTGCATATCTCTGGAGGTGCTCATGGTAGAGCAGGGTATGTAAAATCAATTCCAAACTCATGGAAGAAAATTATTGTACTGTACAAATTGACTTTTTTTTGCTACATATCCCTGGAAGTGTTTGCTCATGGAAAAAATGTGAGTTATTAAAAAAGGGGCGACATGCCTCACATACATACTAAAACTTGCTTAATACATATCTCGGGAAGGATAGAAAATCGCTGGAAGTATTTTAAATTTGTTATGGAGACTTATTTTATAAGTGCCGTATTGACAGAAAAAATTTCATTTAATGGAAAAGGGAGAGCCGGCTTCGGCCTTATAATCTAAAGCTCTCACGATGCATACATACCTCTTGAGGCATTTAGCTACAGTAATGAGAAGTGGGAGTACTCCCTTATTACTCGTTCTCGAGGAATATGGGATGTTTTTCTACGCGCACACCCTTATTGTCTTTTTAGGAGGATATTCTGAGAGTACTCCCGTATTGCTCCCTTAGGAAGCGGGACGTTATTCCTTTATGTTCTCTCCGCTCGCTCGTTCAGAAAGTAAAAGGGATTACTCGCCCTCCTAGGACATATAGAGTATACAAAATACCACGCTCATGCACAGAAGTATAGGGAGAAATGGGGAGTAATCGTAAACTCGTACCATGATCCCAAGTTCTTCTGGGTCCTGATACATTTTTCCCAAAAACACAAAATTGTTTTGAGCGAGGGAAACTAAGCAAGTAATAACGGGGGATTCTTTTATTGCTCACTTAGGAGATCTCCCATTTGCCTTCTAATCGAGTAATAAAGGCGAACAAAACCGACAAATCTCGCTTATTGCTCACCAATCAGGCCACAGGGAGTACTCTTTTATTACTCACAAACAGAACGAGGACATCCACACGGCAGCGTGGAAGGTGGTTTCATGCGGCGCCGAAGACAACGGTCTCAGGCTAAACCTGGGGATCGATGAGGCGTCGTATGTCAGCATCAAGAGGGCTGGATTCATAATCAACTTCCGCTACAGCTACGTCACGGTGCGGCCATGGCGACATAAGACGACAGGCAGCAAGGAGTCAGAGTCCCAAGACATGCAAGTCGACGAGGCTACTGACTGCACTGCTGCCCCAGCGACCGAGTCGACCACGGCCCTACCGGAAAATCAGTCACTAGAACCAGCCAAGTGCCACTGACTATGTGCGCTCCACACAGGAGCTCCTAGCGGACATAGGCAGGCTCGAACTCGACAGAGGAGACGAGGGTGAGGTACGGCTCTCGGACATCGAGGACGAGCCCCGACTATGAACCAAACAGCGCTAACAGTAGCCCAGGTCAACTTGCATCAAGCGGTGGCCGCCTCGGCGATCATTGCAAGCAGGTTTGTCACGGAGGACCTGGGAATCCTACAGATACAGGAACCGTGGACCTACAGAGGCCAGGTGAGGGGCCTCAATCATAACAAAAATAAGTAATTGAGACCTCTGATGCGAGAGGCCCAGAGCGTGCGTAGTGCTGATTATTATCTCCTCTACTGTGGAGCTTAGTTGTGGACGAACTCCTACAGATACTTACTAACGAGGGCGTCCGTTGCCAAGGGTACGCGGACGACATAGTGATTATCGCTACAGGGAAGTTCGCAAGCACTCTCTGTGACATCGTCCAAAGAGGACTTAACCTTGCAAAAAGGTGGTGCGCAGACGTAGGTTTAAATATCAACCCTTCTAAGACAGCTATAGTCCCCTTCACTAAGAAACGAATTCTCCAGGGGATGAGGAACTTGACCTTGGACGGGGTCGTAATCAGTGTCACCGCAGAGGTTAAGTATCTGGGGCTTACCCTGGACTCCAAGCTTCTGTGGAGGGCCCATGTTGATGCGGTCACCTCTAAGGCCACGAGAGCGATGATGGTGTGCAAACGTCTAGCGGGTAAATCCTGGGGGTGCACTCCGAGGATCCTCAGATGGATGTACACCATAGTGATAGNCTCCGAGGATCCTCAGATGGATGTACACCATGATAGTGAAACCAATAGTGACTTATGGTGCGGTGGCTTGGTATTCCAGGACTAGTATGGGAACGGTGAGGCAGACCCTCTCCAAGATTCAACGTCTGGCATGTGTTTGCATAACGGGAGCAATGCGCACATGCCCGACTGCAGCGCTGGAGGTAATGCTGGAACTCGAGCCACTGCATCTCTCAATTGAACAGGCTGCAAAGCGAACCCTACTTAACTTTGCGAGGGAGGGCTTCGGCAAAGGCAAGGTGTTATCATCTAGGAACAGGGACAAGCTAGGTACCCAGCTCCCCCTGGCTTTGTTCCCCAGGGACGATATTAACAGAGAGGTGGTCTTCAAGAGAAATTTCAGGACCCACTTTTATAACAAGTTGACCTGGTGTACCTCTATTATAGAGAGTCACATACAGGCGAGCACAATACAGTGGTACACTGACGGCTCTAAAACACCCACGGGGATTGGAGCAGGCGTGTACGGCCCTAGGCTGAAGCTTTCTGTGCCCCTGGAAACTTTCCCTAGCATCTTTCAAGCGAAGGTCTACGCCATGTTGTTGTTGTTGTAGCGGCACTACTAAGCCCCGCCTGTTTCGGGTCAACTTTTAATCATTATCGTCAAGCTCAACTAACGGTAGGCCCAGGAAACGAGCTGTTTCGATGGGGTCGGACCAAAGGGAGTGAGGTGTTAGTTGAGTCGGCATCAGTATGTGCGCTGAAAGAACTGTAAGAAACTATAGGAACGAAAGGATATTTATACTAAGTGATAGCCAGGAGGCACTTTGGGCCCTCTCATCATTCGAGATCAAGTCCTTGGTTTGGGAGTGTGTCGAGAGGCTCAATGCTCTGGTGGAGGTCAACGATATCCAACTAATGTGAGTACCAGGGCACATGGGGGTTGCAGGAAATGAGGAAGCTGATCATCTGGCCAGAACGGCCGCTTCCTCGACCCCGATAGGACCTGAGCCCTTTCTGGCAGTGGAACCCAACACCATAAAGGAAATGCTCAGAAGGGACAACAGCAAACTGAGGCAGCTACACTGGCTTGGCACCATGGGCCAACGTCAGGCGAAAAGCTTATTAGGAGGTTACAATCTGTCAAGATACAGGCTTCTCATGTATCTCCAAAAAGAGAAACTAAGAATTATTACAGGTTTTATGACGGGCCACTGTAGGCTCAGAGGGCACCTGCATAAACTAGGTATCTAGCCCAGCGACCTGTGTCGCTTTTGCGATGCAGCCAAGGAGACTCCTCTACACCTCCTTATGGAGTGTGAAGCCGTTGCACGCAGGAGGTATAGGAGCATAAGGCACGTCTGGCCAAGAGAGGAGCACATACACTCACTGTCCCCGGGGTCTATTATGAAATTTATACACTCTGGGGCTGGTTGATGTGTTGTCATGAGCTAGGGGTACAATGGACCTACTGGTCGCAGTGCCATACCCAACCAACTATCTATCTATCTATCTACTCACAAAAGTATATCTCCCTTCAAGATATATTGGGATATAATAAAATTTTGAGCAGCCCTGGTTTACATAAACAGCCCGACCAAGGGCTGTTGTTGCGGCGATCTAACCCCGTTTAGGTCGGCGAAGTATCTCAGAAGTTGTTCGTCCATTGGGCTACATTTGCTACGTATTTATTCGTCTGCTCAGGGCTGGCATCGAGTCAAACCCAGGGCCAGAAACCTACACCTGCTGTGTATGCCAGAGACGATTACACCACAACCCCACCTCAGTCAAGTGCAATGCATGAGAGGGGTGGAGTCACCTCAGAATCTGCTCAGGACTACGGACACATCGGCAGTGGACCACATCGTTTTTGGCCCCCTGATGCTCAAACAGAGCAGNCTTGGCACCATGGGCCAACGTCAGGCGAAAAGCTTATTAGGAGGTTACAATCTGTCAAGATACAGGCTTCTCATGTATCTCCAAAAAGAGAAACTAAGAATTATTACAGGTTTTATGACGGGCCACTGTAGGCTCAGAGGGCACCTGCATAAACTAGGTATCTAGCCCAGCGACCTGTGTCGCTTTTGCGATGCAGCCAAGGAGACTCCTCTACACCTCCTTATGGAGTGTGAAGCC